CTTGCATAAGACATACAAAAATATACAAATACATAAATGTAAAATGAAAGACTCTTAAATGCAGGTGTATTAAAATAACCTAATCAATATATTTATACAATTAAATGAAGGATCTTTAAAAACCTTTTTTTAAATGAGATTTATTTGCAAAGATTTCAACATATTATGGTTCATTTTCTGCAGCCAGCAAAGTGGTTACATTTACTCAGAATACTGGGGCATATGCAACATATATTGTAATATGAGGTTATTACGAGGATACCTCAAAGTATGCACGAAGACAGTACAGCGACAGTATCGACAGACACGCAGCGGAGGTTTGATGCAACAGCGTACTGTCTTTGTGCATACTTTTCTTTTCAAGGATACATCATGGAAATGCCGAAATCCAAAAAGTTTAGAACAGAATCGGCAAACTTCTTTGTGTGGAGACATGTCAATTCCAGGTGGCAGCCATGTTTGTTTTTATTATTAGAGACCGCTTACACACGTAATCATCCCATATTTGGAATTCTCATTTCCTAATATGGTAGGATGAAAATACCAAAACTATGGCACGCTGTAACTTGTGGTGTTACGGTGACAGATGTATAATAATAAAACTTATAATGATATGGATGTATCTATGCATACAAATTAACTATAGAATAATATTAGTTTTAATAGTGGTCGGCTTAATATTATTGGAGTTGCTACTACTACGATTTATATACACTAAGATGCTAAAAAAATATACAATATTTACAGCAATTCCAGGCATTGATTTGACGCTTAAGTAGTGCTAGATATAGATAAGATTCTACAATAGGTTACATAAGTTGTAACTAGAAATATAAATATCGGCGGCAAATCAGAGGAATGATTGACAGATATTGCCCACAATGTTTTCTATTTTTCCGATGCCCCAGACTTTGCGGCACGTCTGTCTGTCTGTCACTTTTGGTCAGTCATCGTGTTGATTGCGTGTCTACAAATCAACATTTGTCCAAGTTGTTTAAACACCACGATGGAGAAGCAAAAAGTCGAAAAAACAGTTGATGTGAGAACAAGAGTTGTCGATTTGTATTTTCGTCATTTGCTGAGATTCAAGTTCGAGATCGAAGTGGTGTTCAAAGCAGACAACTTATAATATCGTCAAACGGTTTGTTACCAGAGGGGTACCAGATTATCCTGGCAGGAAAGCTTTAGCGCGACCAAACTAACTGACAACGATATAGACTATGTCGAATATTATAAAACGTTGAGACAGAGCATATACTGAGGGGAAATTCAACAAAACTACTCGGAAGACGGTGTATGTACAGCGGCAACCTTCCCCGGACGTGTGATCGTGTGCTGCTAGGGCAAATCCTATTCGACGGAATCCGGAATTCTGCGTTTTAGGGTTTGCGTGTTGGGAGTGAAAAGCTGTTCAAAGCGATTATTCATTGGTGGCACATCAACCTTTTGGTTCTCATTATCGAAAACTAATAATCGAATAACACCCATTCTACTTATGTATTCAATTTCATTATTGATATACTGGATGAAGTCTGCATAGGACATTTGTTGCAGGCAGCTTTCAGTTATATAGATCGGTGTGATACGAATATTTCCATAGTAGGAATAATGCACTTTGATCAACAATTCTGCCAGATCAGTCGATCAGCTGGTTCTGTAAAATCTCTAACTAACGTTCTTTACAGTGCCACCACGTTATGCGCCCTTCTTACTGAAATAACATGTGACGCAAATTGAAGTAGGAAACTAAGTTGAGAGCCTCGGTCGTTTATTGGAGGAGAAATTCAAAACTAATGTACCGGCACTTTTATGGGCGGAGCTTCCTTCCGACTCGCATCAAATTGCAGACATGGTACTGTCTGTATTATTTGTAACAACTTCTGTAAATGTGAAAACAAAGTGTGTAACCTATTGTAGTAAGTTATCAACATCTAGCACTACTTCGGCGTCAAATCAGTGCCTTGAATTGCTGTAATTAAATATTTTCATTAAGCATTGTCAATACACATAATTATGTATTAATTAATTAAGTATTGACTAATTGCACTATGAAATGACTCTTTATATTTAATAACAATGTAACAATCCAGTGTGAATGAACTTGTTTTACTGGTCAACAAGGTTGTGTATATGATATATTTATATGTACCGATAATCTCACGATATTTTCTCTTGGGTTGACGCCAGCAGAGACTAGTGATTATCGCCAGAGTTTTGTATCAATTCAGCTGCACTCGAATACAAATATATCATTGCATGTGTATTGTATTATTTTGTTGGTACTAAGGTTTTTTATTTCGCATGGATGCCTTCCATACACTGTATGGTACAGTAATTTGTTTTGTAATATTTGCTCCAATTCGCTAGGATTTTTTATAATTTCAACAGAATATTTGGAGGGACTGAAGAATAATTCCAAAATAACACATGTGAGCTTGCCAAAATGAAACATTGTTACCACAATCTGTATATAAACCCAGAAGCTTGGGGGCAACCTTCAGGCAGCATGTACAATGAAGAAGTTCGGCAGTATGTGACGTAGCAAATGTATCTACCATGTGTGACGCCACACTGTGATGATACGCAAGTCATGCATGTATATATATATTTTTTGATCAAGACCAAAATTAAAGTAAAGTTTATAAAAGTTTATTTTAAAATTTAGATTTGAGTTGCATTTAAAAAAAAAAAAAATTCTGAAATACCAGTATATTTTTAGAGTGAAAAATATTGCAAACTGTATTTATACGGTAACACTCGTATAGATGACGTATGATTACTGTAAATTACTTTATTTTAGCTGGGATTAATTTTTACTGAAAAGGCTATTTTAATAGCTGTTTTGATTTTTGATGAGTTGAATGTGAATTATAGGAAAAAAGGTATATTCGCTGGATTCTATTTTCACTGAATCATCCCTTCAGCCAAAATGGCGTAAATAAATTCCAAGCGTAAATAAAGTATTTCACAGTATACAGTTTTATGATCTGTCAATGAACCGCACCGGAATAGGCGACTCTGGAGTCAGGACTCCACGAAAACATCCTTGTAATCTCTCGTGAGAAAAGGCTTCAATGTGGAAATTTTGTAGTATCTGTATGAAAATTGAAATAAACAAAGTGGTTAATTTGTAAATGATTGACCGTCTCTCATATTAACGCTGCAAAGTGGTATATTTTACTTAGATTTTGAATGGCTGGTAGAATTTTGTTTAAAAATTTTTTTTTTAAATGTTTCAAAAAAGTGTTGTATACATGGCTATGGGATTTATATTGAACACAATGTGGTGTAACGATCACCACCTTTTATATTGAAATTTTCAATATATGATATAATCCTTAGCCAACATAAAAGTTAATGTTAGTGCATATGTATATCATTATGTGCCGTTTTTGAACCATCTATAAATGGCATTACCGTAGTTGTCCGAATATAAACCCCTGCTCAAGTATAAGCCCCCCCCCCCCCTCCAAATTGACAGCACTTTACAACAAGTCATTTATCTGATTATATAAGCATTATTTATCCAGCATTTTGATGTACTTTCATACAGACCAATATTCAGGATTGAATGCTGTTCCACTTAGTAAATGCACCCAAAGTGAAGTGACCCCGGGGCATAACGGCCGATCCTCAAGTTAATTTGGACGATGCTAGTCAATGAGACATTCCAGCTCGTGTACACACGACGATTTGTTTATGAATAAAGTATTGCTCAGGAGAAGTTTTAACTTTTATCCGTTTATAAGCCTTCCCCCCCAATTTTTCGTCAATTTGCCGTTTTCCCAAGGGGGTTTATACTTGGACAACTACAGTAGTGTGAAAATGGCCACCAATCAGCCATTAAGAGTCAATTTACGAACAAAAAAATAATGATACTAATGCAAATAAAAAAAGAAACAAACTATGGACATTTACCTATATATAGTTGACTATTTCAGTCTATTCAAATGAAATTGGCACTGGGATACCAAAGAAACAATTAATGACATGATGAAATTTTGTGACGTTTGT